GGAGGTGGCAAACAGGTTGCTCGGCTCCCGGACCTGCCAGGTGACGCCAGCTAGCCCAGCTGGCTTCTAGCAGCATCACCAGGGTGTGCTGGCCTGAGACACCCCCGTTCACACCAGCAAGAACACCCAGTGTGGAAGACTGAGCCTGGAAACAGGCCTTTGCATGACTCCAAGCACCCAGCACCCAGAAGGGGCCTCGTCAGACCCCCATGGGAGCCCAGACCCCTGCACTGTCATGGCTTTCTGGGCAAGTCTCAGCTGTTCCACACCCTCTGCTTAGCTCAACATGGACGGTTTCCAGCCCAGGGGCACCCGTTTGCCTTTGGAGCCAGTGCCATTGCAGGACTGCACATGGCAGGGATCGCTGAGTGTGTCCATGTGACCAGCCAGGTGCCAACCTCTGGCAGTGCCACCCGCCAGGCAGGGAGGTGAGAGTGTCCTGGGGCAGTCACAACAAAGCCCTGCAGCCAGGCTCACACAAAAGGGGTCATTGTCACCCAGTGCTGGGGCTAGAAGGTGAGACCCAGGGGTGGGCAGGGCTGGCTCCTCCTAAGCCTCTCTGCTGGGCGTGTAGAGGCCGTCTCCTCCCAGTGCCCTCATGCGGCCGTCCCTCTGTACATGTCTGTGTCCTGACCTTTTCTGGTGAGGACACCAGAGTCCTGTGGGATCAGGGCCACCCCATGGCACTTACCTTAATCCCCTCTGTACAGAACCCACCCCCAAACACAGTCACATTGCGAGGTGCTTCAGGTCAGGACCCCAGCACATCTCTTTGAGGGGCATGATTCAACCCAACAGAGCAGATGAGCGTGAGCCTGTCAGGAGCCCGTCTCTCTGTTCCTCAACAGCCAGGCCCTGAGGCGTCCATGTCCCTCGGTCCCTATTCATGCAGATCGGCCCATCAGCACACCTTGTCTGCCTTCCCTCAGACAAAGCCCTGCAGCCCTCGTACGGCCTCACACCCTGCTTATGAGGTCCAGGGACACAGTTGCAAGTACAAAGGGGCCCCTTCTGTCCAGCCAGCACCTCCTGGGGTGCAGGTGAAGGTCATAGCACCAAGCCCACAGGGAGCTGCTGACTCAGTACCAGGCACAGGCCTGTGCCCTGTCTCTCACCTGACAGCACCTGCCGGAAGGTGCCAGCAGCCTGTCAAGCCTATAGTGGAGGAGGAGACGCAGACTGGGAGGGCTCAGGAGCCCAGCAAGGAGGCCCAGCATTGGGCAGCTCTCACATACAAAGCCTCATCCTCGCCACAAGCTCCCTGCACCGCCAGCCCACCTGCATCCTGCACCAGGCAGCCTCTGGACCCCATACCTTGGCAGTCGCTGGGAGCTCATTCCAGCCCCAGCTCTGAGTTTTTCCACTCCCTGGACCTGACTCACCTCCCCTGGGTCCTTGAGGCCTCCCGCCCCTCCCCAGCCATGGCCCCAGGGCAAGGGATGTCTATAGCCTCCCAGCTAACGCCAGACCACAATGAGCCATTGGACATATGGACAGCAGTGGGTCTGGACACATCAGGCTGGGCCTGAGCAATGGTGAGGGGTCTCCAGGTGGACAGGATGAGACCGGAGCACCAGGCCCCAGAGGTGACAGCGAGAAGCTCCAAAAGGGACGCCCAGGAACTGGGGGCTGGGGAACCAGTGGGGGGTTCTCAAAGGAGATGATGGGAAGACACCCACCTGCCCATCCTCCCTCGAAGCCCACCTGCCACACAGCCCACCTCACCCTCTGCCCTCCCTGGCCCGCTGCCCTTCTCGGATCTACAGTACAACTGCCTGGTGGCCACTCGGGACCCTAACAGCAGTGTCTGGGGGCAGGGGAGCACATGTGCAGGTGGCCTGTGAGCTGGCGCTGTTTTCGGAAGGGCGGGCTCAGCCCAACGGACCACCAGGGCCCACCTCCAGCAGTGTCAATGATTAACATGCAGTGAAGGTGCTGCCGAGCCACTGCAGAGTTCCTGGGAACCCAGGAAGGGCAGGGTGGCGGAGGCCTGGGACGGGAGGCACCACGCCAGGTCTGAGAGCCGACACCCTCCATGCACCCCCAGCCTTCCTCGGGCCTCTCCCGGCCACACCCAGATCTCCAAGGGCCTCAACCAGCACAGGTGACCCAGGTGCCTCACAGAAGGAAACCGAGGCACAGAGGAGGCAATCGGCCATGGTGGCGGGGCAGAGCCAGGTCAGGCTGTGTGGGCAGGAAGCAGCTGAGGGGCAGCTGGGAAAAGAGAAGAGTCTGCCCATGTCACCCTGCGGCTTGCAAGAGGGGGGTGTGTGGGGGGGGGTAGGAGACGGGAGAGAGGGGAAGGGAGTGGGGGAGATGAGACGGAAGGGGGGAGGGGCCCCAGGGCTCCACAACTGGAAGCCTCCCTGTCAGGGGAAGGACGTGGATCCTGGGGCAGCCTTCACCCTGCCCTCTGCAGAGGGTGGGGCCCAGCTCCCACCCCAGTCCGGGCATCTCCCCTACCCAGGTGGCCCTTGCCAAGGCCCATCAGCAGGGAGGCCGCGCCCTCAGCTAGAGAGGGAGCCGCTGCATGGTGGGACAAGAAGGGCCTTGTGGGATGGGGTGAGGGGCAGGAAGCCTGCGGGGCGGGGCAGAAGCCCCCTGCAGCCTGACCCCAGCAGGCCAGGCCACAGGAAGGGCTGCTCTCCCCTGGCTGGAGCAGGGGCTCCCCATGAGGAGGGGGACGGGGTATCCTGGCTGCTTCCCCAGCCTCTCCCGGGAGAGTGTGCCCAGCCTTGCAGCTCACCCACCCACCCACCCACCCAGCCCCATCCCTTCCTTCTCAGGCCAGAAACCAAGCCGGGCCTGGATGGCAACAATGACCGTCTGGTTTCACAGTCCTGCTTGCCGAGGACAGAGCTGTTCCTCTGCCACTACTGCAGCCTCCTCTTAGAGTGGGCACCATCCAGCCTTCCATGGGGCTGCGCCCAGGCTCCCATCAGTGGGCATGGGCCCCTGCTACAACCCCAGCTCAAGAGCCAGGTCCCCTTGGGAGGCAGGCTGATTCAGAGAGTGTCCGAGGCCTTGCTGACTCCCTGGAGACATCAGGGACGAAGGGCACCTCCCCAGGCCACCTGGCCAGGGTCTGCCTCCAGCCCCACCCTCCTGGGGGTGAACTGTGCCCACCTCCATGGCCTGGGCACATCTTGCACAGGCCAGGGCCAGGAGTGGAAAGGGACTGCACCACGGTCACACAGCACCCTCAGTGGGGCTGCTTCCCAGCTGCCCCTGAGGGGCAGCTGCCTTCGCCTAGCCTGCTCCTGCGGGGGCTGGGCCACGGCCCTCTGCTGAGCACACTTCCGAGCTCTAAACAATCAGAATCAGGAAGAAAACACGAGTGTAAGCAAAGACTTCCTCTGGGGTGCGGCGGGCCCTCTTCCTCCACACGGCGCCGCCGCAGACAGGGAGCCCGGGCGACTGGTCCCTGCTGGCCTGCATCACCAGGGCACGAACCAGCTGGCGTCCGGGGGCTCGTCCATGCCCTGGCTGTAGGGTCCGTCCCACCTCTGCGTGTCTCTTGGTGTCCAGCAGACAAGGGCTGGTGGTCAGCACCCCACCCCCACCCCCGTGCACAGGGGCTCCCACAAGCCTGGGGTGGGCTGGGTGTACACAGACTCGGGTTGGGTCCCTCAGGATCACGGCCCATGAACATTCCCTCAAACCTCAAGGCTAGAGACTGGTGCTACAGCCGTGGCCATGGCTCAGGTGCCCCCGACACTAAGGGAGGTGGAGGCTGGGATGGGGAAGAGACCTGAAGGCCACGGTCCACCCACGCCTTTGGGAACAGTGTCTCTGAGACACCCTCCCGGCATGGCAGGCTGGCTCCCCCGCAGGGCAGGCCGCAATCCTGGTAACCACAGCCCTCTCCACCCTCCCAAGACGATGCTCCCGGTCAGCCAGGGCCTGGCTCCTGCAAGCCCTGAGCTAGTCTCTCCCAGCCCCAGGCCCACCCAGGCATAAGGGTGAGCTCCTGTCACTACTGGCAGAACAGAGGGAGGCTGCCCCACGCAGTCCCCGGAGGAGCCCCCATGCTTAGCAGGAGGATGCCAATCAAAGGCTCACACACCAGAAGCTGGCCGCGTACCAAGAGGCCACTGGCTGGGCCGTCAGGAAGTGCCATGGAACGCAGGAGGGCCGCGGGCAGGCAGCAAGGAGTGCAGCCCGGGGAGGTGGCTTCCTCGTACTCCTCTCCCCAAGCAGTGGGGCCCTGCCCCAGCCTGCCCCACACGGCGGCGCGCGGCACTGGGACTCAGAACCACCTGGAACAGCGGGGCCCAGGTGTGGCCAGCAGAGCCCTGATCCCTCCTGGAGCACAGCTTGCTCCAATTGACCACTGGCGACGTGGCCCAATCCCTCCCCTGCTGTGGGCCCCCTCCAGGCAACTCTGCTTCAGGCCAGGTTTTCATGAGGGGGGCTCAGTTCATGTATGGCTGTGGGCACTGCCCATGGCCATGCGGATCCCGTGGGGTACACCACCGGACCTAGCCCCTCAGACAGCCCCGCTCCCTCCCGCCCAGGAGACTCCAACACCCCCGGGGCGCCCGCCTGGGTCTGGGAGCATCTGCGGTGTTCTGTACCCCCAGGAGCACGGGGCCCCCCTTCCTGGGGCTCCTGAGCCCTCTGTCCCAGCTGACCCTGGGGAATTCTCTCCTCCACACCCAAGGGCAAGCTGCGCTGGCACACGGCCTTTCCCAGACGGATTAACACCTGGACCCTCCGTCCCAGGAGGAGTGGAGCCGAATCCGGGGCTGCTGCTCCCCAGTCAGTCCCCCCACAATTTGCCTCGACAGGTCCAGCTGGGGAGCTTCCCAACCTCAGGGTCAGGTCCACACCGTCCCTGAGCTCCGCGTTGTTGCATTTTCCCCGTGAACTCCTTCCATCCCTCCGGCTGCTCTGAGCCGCAGCTTGGACACGGGTCCCGGCGGCAGCAGGTGGCGCGGAGACGGCGCGCGCCCCAGCCCCGCGGAAACCCGGGGGTGCCCTCAGGCAGCAATACTCACACTGCGAAGTGGTAGACGAAGCACTTCCAGCCTGTAGGGCGCTCGAGGAAGTTGTAGACGCGTCCCTGGATGTGGGTGCGCGCGAGCAGCGGGCGGCGCGCGCTGTAGATGGAGACGCGCGGGTCGAGGCTCACAGGCGGCCGCAGACTAAGGTCGGCGGCGGCGGGCTGCGTGGCGGGCGGCGCGGGGGGCGCGGGCCCCGGGCCGCCGGGCGGTGCGATAGGCGCATAGAGCGCGCCGCCCGCGGGGCCGCCCTCGGCCAGCTCCAGAGAGAAGGGGCACTTCTTGGGCAGGCCCGCGCTGCCCCGCCGGGCGCCCGGCAGGCGGCCCCAGCCCCAGCGCTTCTTCTCGGGCCTGGGCGGGGGAGAGGCCGCAGCCATGGCCAGGCAGGGCGCGCGGGGGCCGGCCGGACGCACCCGAGCAGCGGCGGAGCGGGCGCGCGGCGCAGTGTGGGCGCCGCTGTGCCAGCCCCGCCGCGGGGGGCCGCTGCCCCAGCCCCGCCTGGCGTGGGGGGCGGGGCCGCAGGGGGCGGTGGCCGCGGCCGGACGCCCCGCCCCCGGCCAGCAGGCGTGCGCCAGACGCCCTAGCCCGCGACCCAGACCGCGCTCACCTGCTGGGTCCCGCCCCATCTGCGCCCACCTGTTGGGCCCGCCCCTTTAGCATCCACCTGCCAGGCTGCGCCCACCTGCTCCCCGCTTCCTCTCGCATACCTATGCCCCCGCCCCACCTGTGCCCACGTGCTCACCCTCACACCCACCTGCGCAGACAGGCAAGGAATCCCCAGCCCAGCCAAGACTCCGGAAGGCTCCGGAAGGCGCGAGGCCACAGGTGTAGCGACAGAGAATCACTTGGGAGGGCTAGGTAGGGTGCAGGCACCCACGTTACCCATTCTCAGGTGCTCTGGAGAGATGGTAGGGAGAAAGTGAGAGAGGTGCTCCCTGGGGCAGGTGCGGACTGACCCTCTTGGCGCTGGAAGGACAGCATGTTAGCCCCTCCAACACCCTAGGCACCCCCAGGGTGCCCGGGAGCATGCATTGAGAGCAGAGAAAAATGCGGCCGGGTCTGTCTCCATTAGCGCTATTGGACCAGGTAGGCAAGGCCAGGACATCGATGGTCAGGGGCTGCCCAGTGGGAGCTGTGCACATGGGGAGAGGCAGGGCGTGCTGGGGCATGGCCAGGGTCTGGATCAGGTTTGATCATCATGCATGACAGGCAGGGCTGACTGGGCAGGTCAGGGAAATGCACCTGAGTGGTTCTAGGGCTGGAAAGTGGGTGTCCTGTCCTCCTGCACCTATGGTCCAGGGTTTTTCCTGGGTTGGGGTGGGTGCAGAGGTGGGTGACTGGATGAAGTCTGCACAAGTTCCCATGCTCCCCCAGCCATCGTGGCGCTGGCGTTTGGGTCTCTGCACACTGACTGGGTGTCAGGGTGGAGGATAGGGGAGCAAAGAGAAAAAAACTGGCCTTTCTGGGGATATTGCCCCCAGCTGAGGGACAACCACCCTGGAGCCACGTCAGGGATCCACAACCGATGAGACACTTGGCCCAAAGTCAGCTCATATTGGTGGACAGAGTGCAGCTCTAGCACTTCACCCCTGACCCCCCACAACTCTGAGGGCACCTGCACACAGTGGGCGCACTTTGTACTTGCAGAAAGGAATGGATGAAGTAGGTCACAGCGTGTGCCAAGCACTATGGAGACTTGGGGCCACTGAGGCTAGGAACCTTCCTGGGAAGTGCATCACTGAGAGCACAAAGCAGGCAGAGAGCCAGCCAGACAGAAGAAGGCAGAGTCGTCTTGCACAGGGCGGCAGGGGGATAGGCCAGGGCAGACAGCAGGGGCTCAGTCAGTACTTTCCAAGTGAAAGCGTTCATGGACGAACAGTGTCGGCACAGCCACATCTCAACTGAACTTTGAATAAGAGGGGTGGAGACCACCGGAGACCCACAAAGAAAAGGAACAGAAACCTGGATCCACCTTACACACGACACACAGGAATACATTTCGAATGAATCGGAGGCTTAAATGTCAAAGTTGAAAATAAGCCTTGTAGATTCTACAAGAAAGTATGGGTGAGTCCCTAGGCGACCTGTAAGCAGGGAAAACATTTCTAAATATGTTGGAATCCAGAGACAATAGCTGAAATTAGCAAAGTAGAAAAAAACAAATAGCAAATGGGAACAAATACAATATTTACAGTTTACATCTGAGGCAAAGGATTAATAGCACTGATTATAAAGAACATCTAAACCCAAGAAGAAAGTGACAGACAGCCCTATGGAAAAAAGGGCAAGCAGAATGAACAATTCACAGGAAAAGAGGTTCATACTCTTTGCACTTATGAAAAAATTAATTCATCACAAGAACAATGCATATTTAAAGTACAGTCTGATACCACTGTTCTCCCATCTGATTGGCAAAGATCCACATGTCTGACTGTGGGTACACGGAGGGGGAGGCCTTGGGAGAATAGGTATCTTCTACACCATCTGTGAGAAGGGGGTCCTGGTGGTGTTAGCAAAGCCACAAGTACCGTTTGACCCACGAGTTAGTTCCACTTCTAGAAGCTGGCCCAAAGATGCATGGGCACGTCCCTAAGGCTATTCATTGCAACTGTATTTCCATTAGCAAAAGACTAGAAACAACGGGACTGCTCCTCAGTTGGTCGAACTGTGCTACGGCCCAGCCACACAATGTAGCCACTTGTCAATAGTATCACAAACAGTCAAAGGACAAAAGGAACCCAAAGAATAACATCGTTAGTGACGATACTGGTATTGTTACTTTGAAACTATATGTATACATATATATTACATGTATATATGAGGTTAAATTTTTGGGGGACCAAGGTTTTCAGTATAAGAGAAAAGAAATACAAATGCAAAATCAAAGAATACAATACCAACCCTTACATTTTGAATATTAGGGATATTAGCATAAATTTATCTTAAAACAAAATGACTTTCTAGCTCTGTCCACTGAAAAGTTTGAGAAGGGGCCAACCGACAACAGGACAATTTGAGCATCAAAAAGGCTCTGGATTAAAACATTAAATATCTTAAAAGTCCATTCATTCGTAATGATACCAAAAAAGTCCTTGTTGGCCCTTGGTTCATTGCTAGAGCTCATTATTCTGAAAACTGGTAAAAACACAGAGCCAAGTTTTTATCCTGCCTTCCGTGTCCCAACTGAACTTCACGGTCAAAGGAAGCGTCAAGGAGCGGCGGTAAAGGAACACAGCATTTCCGGATAGAAGTAGGTGTCGGAAGGGCTTTGGTGACCAGCAGGGAGGGTGGGCAGCTGGATGGAGGTCAAACCCAGCTACCCCTGAACCGGTCCTTGTCGGGCTGCTGGTGATACGGTCATGATGCTGAGCCTTCACACTTGTGCACGTCTCCATATTTTAAAAATTGTTGAGTAGCCACACAAGCCCCTGGTAAGGCTCCTTGGAGGACCCCGGTGCTGGCCCAGGTCAGCCAGAGGAGCAAGGCAGGGCCTGGGGGGTGGGGGGTTTGTGCAGGAACCCGCCCCGGGGGGGGGCTCAGGCCCGAGGGCACGGGGACAGCAGGAACACAGCAGGTTGGACAAGGGGCAGCCCTGAGCTCCCTGCAGGAGGAGGAGGGGTGAGCTGAGGCTGGGAGGCGGCAGGGAGGCTGGACTCCCCCTCAGGGGAGGTGGGGCTGGGGGCTGAGGAGTCGGCTACTGAACAGCCCAGGGTGAGGGCGGAGGCTGCGCCCTGAGACCGCGGCTGCCACAGGGGCAGGAAGCCCAGCCAGGCCTGCTCCTTGGTGGTGCAGGCAGGACCCAGCCCACCACGGGCCCACCTGCTGCCCTCCAGGAAGGCCCAGCACTAAGAAAAACCCCTCCTGCCACAGCCCCATCCCCAGAAGGGACCCAAGGCCCCTCGGTCACTGTGCGTGCACATGTCACGCCCTGAGGCCCTGGCCGCACATGGGTGGGAGGCAGCCTCTCCCTGCCTGCTGTCTCAGGGCCTCAGAACATTCTGGAAACACTGCCCCACCTTCCCTCTAAGGCAGGCAGCCCTCCATGTGCCATGCTCATTCCGGGTTCTTCCCATGGGGCCAGAGGCCATCTGGGGGAGGAGCCTGGGGCTCACAAGGACACATGGGTAAGTGGAGGCTAGTGAAGGGACAGGGGGTGGTGCTGGGGGCCAGCTGTACGCCACCATAGGCTTCCTGGCTGGCGCCCTCCTTCAGCTGGACTTCTGAGTCATTCCCCCGTTCCTCGCTGAGCACCAGCCACATGGCTGTGCTGTTCCCACACTGGCCCCAGGGCTGTGTGCAGGTGGCCCCGCCCTCGCAGGGGCTTAGGGTCAACAGGGGGCAGTGGGCGAGATGCAGAACACTGAGGGCCAGGGGAGGGGCAGGGCGGATTGTGGAGGGTGACCCCCAGCGAGGGTCTGGGGGGACACGACAGCAGAGACCCTTCCTGGGGCCCTTCAACTAATCTGGGAGGCATTTGCAGGCAGTCAGTGCCCAGTACAGAATGGATGGATGGCTGAGCAGAGTGGAGGGGAGGCAGGAAGAAGGTGGGGGCAGCCGCCACTCCCCATCTTCCTCAAACCAGTGAGTCGCCCTAACAGGGTCCTCTGGCTGGTGAGTGTCCCTTGGTGAGCCTGGCTGGTGATGGCAGTGTGGCAGACAGTGGCTTTGCTCTGCCCCACTGAGCCCCTTCTCTATCCTGACCCACAGGCAGCCCTGGGCACCTAGGCCCCAGATGCCTGCCCCATGAAGACTCTTGCCTAAGAGGGCACTGTCAAGGTGGTGGTCTCCGGCTGGTGGGCACAGAGTTGCCTGGGAACTCTGTAAGCACCCCGTGTCCCTGTGCAGACCCAGATGCTGGGTGGGGCCCAGCATTTTAGCAAGACCCCTCCACCCTGACAGGGGATGCTGGGGACCCCTAATTTGGGCACTGCACTGGGAGAGAGGCCAAGGGGAGCCCTCCCAGTCTGATGTGACTTGGTCTCTCCCACTCGTGGGCTGCTGGACAGTCACTCCACAGAGTTACCAGCACAGACTGTGTGCTGGGCATGTGTGTAAATGTGCACAGTGTGTCTGCGAGCACACTGTGGTGTGGGTGCCCACAGGTTACTCTGTGTATAGTACATGCATGTGTGGTGTGTACACATGTATGCACACAAGCCTTTCATGATACAAAGGGACTGAAACTGGGGATCCCCTCTCCCCACTTGTAAGAAGACAGCTTAGAGCAACGATATCTGGTGGGCTGGGAGTGGGGTGCTCAGAAGAGAGGCGAGCAGGGTCAGACTTGGGGGCAGGGAGCCAACCCCACAGAGCCATGCCTATGCCCCAACTGCCCGGCCCACGCAGGCCACCTGCTGGCTGGGCCCTGGCCCCAGGATCGCACCCCACATTCATGCCTCCTGGCCAGGACCAGCATCCCGCTGGCTCCCACGTGCTTCCTTTGGCCTGAAGGCAGGTCATCT